GTGGCAGAAAAATCCGCAAACCATCGCCGGCTCTGCATGTGCGTGTGGGCTGTCTTCAAAGTCCAACCGAGCATTGAGGCAAGCCACTGTAGAGTTGCGAGAATGCGAAGATATTCTCCTACATTCATAACTTTGTCCGCCAGAGAGACTGAAGTACAGCTCATATCATTACCACTAACTAACATAGTCAAATCAACATCCGGCAACGAGCTTAGCACCTTCTCGGCACCTTCACCACTTTCGCTTAAAAGCCAAGGTAATCCAATTTGTGCACGAGAACGCTGTAGATTATCCATCTGAAAGCCCAGCTCCTTAGTGATAGTCATAAGTAGATTGGTAGGCTGCTGGGCCGCATATGAACGAAGTGCAAGAGTTAGCGATTGCACCGCCGAATTATGCGCCAGCGAGTTTTCATGCAGAGCTTCCGTGGCGTCTTTGTCGTTCGGTAAAGCACTTGTTAAAAACAATGAAGTGCTTGGTAAAATCAACTGATAAAGCGCTATGAGCAAACGAACGCCCCCACGGTCTGCAAAATATGCTGCGTACTCTGACTTCGATAGCAAAGGCTCCATCAAATCCGACACATGTGTCGCCATGCGTACGAGAATACTATTGGCCTTATCTCCGATATATTTAGGATTCGTCCATGAAGAGCTTTCTTCGCCAAATTGAATCACTTTTCTTACAGCATGTACTGCAGCATCGATAGCTGCATTTTGAAAACTTGGCACATGGCGCATAAGCTCGAATACCCCAGTACCAACAACAGCTGCTGTATCTCCTCGAAAGCAAAAGTCTTTGTCTTCATCTTCAGTGTATTGTGGAAGCGCAAAAAGATCCAGAAGATGCATCAGCGGCTCATACTTAGCCACCCTCTCCGCGTGTGCAGTTGTAAGGCATAAAGCATTTAGCACCGTTGGTACCGCCGTCAGAAATTCACTGGATAATGGCATTAAAATTCGAAGCGGATATAACTCAGCTATGTCCCATCGTGTCAATGTCTTCAAAAATGCTTCAGCCAATCCAGCAGCATGTACATGATTCACACTGCCTGGATCGTTGTTTATAATATCAGAAACTACGATAGCCGCTTGCGCAAAGACGACAGGTCCAAAGATGTCCACATGGGTCAAGAGCTGAAATAAAACCTTACTTAGAGTGCTTCCTTCACGAATTGCGCGGCTTGTTCCACCTGCGCTCATCACACCTTGAGAATGAAATGACATTGATAGCGATGCTAAAATGGCTAAAACCAGCGCTGCTTTTGTTTCTGACTTTAGTGACAAGTGCGTCCTACTCTCTTCGGAATTACCGGTATTGAAGCACTCCATCTTTAGCCGGTCAACAAGAATTCCGACTCCATTCAAGTCACGGTACAACGCAGCGGCTGCAGAGTGGCTGCTGACGGTAATTTCCAGTGCTTGAACACACTGAGTGGTCACGGCCCTATGGAACGCACTCAATGATGGCATTGTTATGGCGTGCAGAAGTGCGGGAACGATACCATTTTCCGTAAGAACAACAGCCCCAGACTGAACAGCCACTACCGCGGAAAGCAGTGCTAGCACGGCCTCCATCCAGTACAATTTTGCCTCTAAGATGCTCCCACTGCCACAACTTCGGAAAGGTGAAGCGCCGACCACCTCAGCTTCCTGGGAAGACAGCAAATCCGTCGTTGCTTGCACGAACGCGACTGCCAGGCTCATATCCATATCTTGGTCCGATGCTTCTGATGCGATAGGAATCAGCGAAGAGGATCCATAGCTTGTCGTTTGGGTGCTGAGCGTTAGAATATCGCCCAGTTCAGCTGTGCAAAAGCGCACGAGCGACGGGAACACGCCGTGTGGTGTCCCTTTTACAACGCCCAAAGCCTGCAATACGTTAGATTGACGGCCCAGCAGGCCCCTACCACCAGCTCTACCAGCTCGATCGTTCACTAATGCTGTAAGGACAGACAACGCTGTGACGCGTACGCGCACAGGGACTCTGTCTACACTTTCAACACGAATAAGCTCTACAATCCCCCGCGTAAGCTCTGGGTGCTGCTCCACGTAATTTGTCACATCCCACGCATCGCTGAACAGCGAAAATAGAGCAAGCAGCGCGTATAATCGTTCCACCACCAAGTTTTCGCGCGTCAACGCACTGCGGGAAGCATAATGCGCTCGTATTTGTGTAAAAAGCTGAAATTGTAGTCTTTCAGGTATTTTGTACTTATCTATCAGATCCTCACACGCCGTCGCCGCTGCACATGCAGCTTCCAATGTAAATGGTGCAGTTGCTATCACTTCTTCATATGGCGGGATGATTACACTGATGCCTTGAGATGTTGCGTCCTCTCCTGAGCTGTAAAAATGAAATTTTACGTCCTGGGTTGGAGCAGTACTTCGTGTGTTCAAATAATCGAGCACTTCTGAGCTGCTTTTAGGCGCTCCCTTACCTTGAACCACCATAAGCAGCCTACGTCGCAATAGATTATTTCTACCAACCGCACTCTCGACGAAATTCGTGCGATCTGCAGCGTATCGATGCACTTGCAGGGGCAGTGCCAGCATAGCTACTACTTTCGTGGCTTCAAAGACTACACGTTCGTTTCTAGCTGCAAGCAGAGCCATAATAGGCTCAGTTGATGAATATACAGCCTTATTTGAAGCGTTTTCCAGCAAAAAACCTAAGAACTTCAGAATTTCGTACACTAGCTCAGTGAATTCCCGCTCTGTTTGCATCGTAATTGAGAAGTCTGTCTTCTCCAGTTCCACCGAAATCAAAAGAAGACGTGGGCACTGCTGTAGCGCTCCTAATAGCAGTTTGTGCAGCTTTGACAGCACCGGACGCCAATTTGCTAAGTCTGCTTGCGACTCCAGCGTCCATCCTTTGATACAAGCTAACAACGGTACAATACGCGCCTCCCCTGCTTGCAATATGATTTCCATAAGTTTCTGCTCCTTATCACTGGGCGGAGCGCGCGGCATAACGCCGGCGCTGAACGCCTCCATCTTCTTATATCTGTTCCTAAGCTTTTAAGTTTTGATAAGCGCGTCTAAGCGACTATCAATGATCGAGTCTCAGAAATGCCTATTAGGCCGCAGACACGACCGGTCAGCACACGGTCTTTGGATAGTGGGGGAGGAAATCTTCAAAAAGTAATTCGGCAATTTTATTGGTCAATGTGTTCTAATGTTAACTTGATTCTGAATGCTACTGTCACATAATATATGTATTATCGTGCCACTAAAACTGCCGACAATCTCTAGCATTTTTGAGTGTGGCAAAATTTTCTAATTATTTTGGTTTTGCTAATTTTACACTAGGAAGTTCGAGTAAGCCTCATTATTAGTCTCCTCTACGCTGCGAAAGCTTAACTGGTTCAGGAACCCTTCAAAAGCTACGTTGTCCTGCTTAGGTACCTGAAAGCCCACGAGCACACGACCAATATCGGCACCGTGGTTTCGGTAATGAAACAGGCTCACATTCCACTGACGCTCTGATTTGCTTTGTCATCATTGTCATCATTGAAAAACATCAAGTCAGCTTAACATTTAATTTAGCAGCACAGATATTTGCTGACGTACCCTAAAGCCTCGAGAAAGTCCTTTAGAGCACCAGGGCGCTCCGGAAACTCGATGCGAAACAGCCGCTCGTTAGTAACCTGCAACGAAAAACAAGCCAATTACAAACCATTCAAACAAATAATGTATCTTGTCAAACGCCATACTTACATTCTCAGGGCGACCACCACCGAGATGCCGAAGGTGCAACTTGGCCAGTTCGTTGGAAGCTAGATCACAAGCGCGCATATCACCGCGTGCGTTGATTGCTTTTATGACGCCAACAAATTCGCATTCTGTCTTCGTCTGGATACTTAGGCAGATCCGAGCTTCATTATCGCTCTCTGAATCCATACGATAAGTAAATTCTGTCACATTGAAAGGAACTTTTGAAACAATACAAACAATTTGAGAAAGCAAATTCAGTGACTATCAGAAGGCAACTCACAGATAACATTGTAGAGGTCCTGAAAGCTTCCAATTTTTTCAGGAATTTTGACGGCCATAAAGCGCTCACGATCGTCTGAGCGCTCCGAAATGAAGCGCAACCGGTCGAAATCCAGATTAGCGGCAGCCAATACAGCCACATATTTTTCACTTTGAGCATTTTTTTTGTGAGCGTACTTCTTGGCGCCAGCAACACTGATTGCACCTACTCAAGGTCAAAAAGCGTATCTGAATGTATCAGCACAAACTCTGCATCAACGTATAATTTATTTGCGATAACAACATACCCGTAGGCTCCACGAGTGAACGCGTGTCACCAAACACGTCTTTTATAGCAATGCAAATTTCATCAGTTGATACGGTGATGACTTCGTCAACCACGTCCTTGCATAACCGGAAATTTTCGAGGCCGACTGTTCGTATACCAACTTCCTCTGTAAAGCGATTCACACTTGGCAACGTTACAGGTGAGCCCGCCTTTAACGACGACTCCAAAAGGTTAGCACCTTCGGCTTCTACTCCGATCAATTTAACTCCGGGGGCAACTTCCTTTATGTACGCAGCAAGACCCGCAATCAATCCACCTCCGCCAACAGGGGCAAAAATTGCCGCCGGGCGATCTCCAGCCGTCTGCTCACGCATTGATTAGCTTAAGAAACCACTACACATTCCAGGCTTGATAATTTTGCGCGCACCTCTTTCAGAATTTCCATCGCTACCGTCCCATTGCCAGCGATCACGAGCGGATCGTCAAATGGGTGGACCAGTGACCGGCCTTCAGTCTGTGCCATCCGTATAGCTTCACTCTTCATTTGCACATTATGCGACGCATAAATTTCGATCTTAGATATCAGAAAAAACTTCAAGACTTTGAACACACCATTGACGCATCAAAGTCAGCGCCGTGTTCCACCATCGTGATCTTGCTCTTGGTGTACTGGGAGACATTCCGCGCCGTTCCGACCGGTGCAATAACGACAGCATCAACACCTAACTCAGCTGCTGCGTAGGCTACGCCGTCTAGATGGCCTCCGGCTGAACAGGCCACAATTCCCCTTTTTCGCTGAGCTAGCGTCAGATTTGCGATCTTATTGTATGCGCCGCGCAAGTTAAATGAGAACGTTGGCTGCATATCCTAAAATGGAATAAAAGTAAAGTCAGACGGGGTTGCTTGGGCTCACTTCAGCCTACAAAGGCACCTCGCGTTTCAAATAAAGGCGACAATTTCCTGGTAGCGACTGAGTGAGCGATGGAGCAAGTTGTAGCGGAGTCTGGATAGCGACGTCGTAAACGCGGCTCTCAAGTATCTCGCGAAGGTAATCATGCGATCCTGGCCTGACCCAGGACGGCTTAGTAGCCAGAGAAGATAGACCTCTACGGACCACGCGGACACAATCGTGGCGTAGCATAATTCAAAAAGGAAGTTTTATAGGTACCTCTATTCAAAATGCACATTTCAAACAATTGTCAAAATATCGGTATTTATCTAAAGGGAGGCTGGCAGCTATATGAAGCTATATCTACATTCATGCACTATTGAATAAGCAAAGCAAAGTGATAGCGTTCGATATCTTATAGGCATACAAGGGTGTGGGTTGCACAAAACGGTGTGATGGTATTCACAAGAAGTCAGTGCGTAGCTGTACTGCCAATAGTTATGCAATTTTACCATTGAATTAGAAAAACCTATAGATTTATATATAGCCGGCTTTGCCGCAAATAAAACACAGTTTACATTTTGAACGGAAGAGTTGATCTGCCTTGGATTAAGGTTGTGGTTACTCTTGTAGTAAGCGGATTGCGATCCGCTACACTCGTACTGGATCTAAGTATAGAACGAAGGTCACCGACCATAACTTAGCTTCCTCTAAGCGAAAGAGCTACGGCAGCCCCGCTGCACGAAGAATCGAAGCTTTCATTGTGCAAGGTTCACGGTAGCCCCGTTGCACTTGATAGCACTTGTAATCAGTCTCACGATGGTCCAAGAGGCAGCAGCAGTAGCGACCTCGAGCACAACGGCCGAGTATATTAGCCTGTACGATGCAACTAAAAAGCGATTTGACTGCGTCTGCTACAGGAAGATATGGGCTACAAGGATCAATTTGTCACGCTAATTTACCAATACAATCAAAGGTGTATCGCGCTAGCCAGAATCCCGGTTTAGCACCCACGTACGAAGCACATTGACATCAAGTCAACTTTATGCGCGAGACGATCGAGCGTGCGACCATTCGACTAGAATACAAGTCGACAGACGAGATGATCGCTAACGGGATGTCAAAAGCATTGGCTCATGACAAGCATTGCAAGTCTGTCGATGGTCTAGGCATGAAGAAATAATAATAGTGGTGAAATAAGATGTGGACAACTTGTTAGTGTATGCTTTGTATTTTTGCATATTATTACTTGTAATTTGCAACGGTAAGGTAGGCCCCATATTGGCTCAGTCGTTCGTGGAGGGGACACTAATCGATCGTGCGTGGGCTGACTAATCATTTTGAACTGGTGTTTGGGGTTCACCGGGACTTTCCCCCCTTTGAAACGACCCCTCCACGCAATCGCTTTTTTATATTGCATGTGAAACAGCGCACTGACTAGCAGAATGTTTCATCTCGTAATGACTGTAAGTAGGAACGAAGGAACGATGACTTACAATTACTACTCATAAAATTGTTTATATAACTCACTCTCTACACCAACCCTTAATCAAGCAGCTACACTCTTGCGTTCAGAATTAAAACTGCTTTAAATTGTTTTATTCTCGGCAGAGTCTTAGGCTCTCCTAATTTAATACTAAACCTAATTAATATGCATAACTACTGACAGTCCCGCCTCGTAGTGGCTTCTTGTTACGGTTTAGCCACACCAAGGTGTGATGACACCAACTTGCGTAATCCATACCTTTGTATGGTCACACCATCTTATGTGACCCACCCTTTCATATAAAGGTACGTGTAACCCCGATACATAATACGCAGTGTTATGAAACTGGCACAGTACATCATATCGTACCAATCATCGGTGCGCGACATCTATGATATTGTCACGAGCAATATTCATTACTTCGGTATATATTAGACTTTTACTAAACTTCTTCTGAAAACGCAATTAGATTTAATGGTAGCTGTAGACTGCTACATAAATTTATTAATCACAAACGTAAAGCGACAACACGCAGCATTCCTTTTAACAGATTAAATCTTGTTCTCTTAAAATTAGATAACAAATTTCTAGTCTCGATTTGTTCGTATACGTATACATTCTTTGTAGGTTTGCTGCCGTCAATTTGTCAAGTCAATACTTTGTCTGTGCGATTGCACTTGGCAGCAATTGACGACGATTCTTGACAAGCCCATATTCCCTGTGGAGATAAAACACGATTTGTTCTACTCTAAGGACAACAGACCACACATGTTTAGCTTTTTGCTTTGATTGGTCGCGAGGGGATAGTACAATTGGCGGCCTAAGGGTCCAAAGCGGTGATTATTTATTTGGAAGTATTTGCCAGCAATGAATATACGCTGCCGAGCCCTCCACGAAGGACTTAACCAGTCTTCAATTAAACATCTAGGCTCCGATTATTTGGCTGCTTATTCTAAGAGTTCAGTTCTCAAGGCATGAATACCACGTACCAAACATTTTTATGCGAATAGCAAGTAAACCTATCAATATTGATTAGAACTTTAATTAGCTGTGACCAGGGGAGCCTTACAACCCCAATAATTTACTCTGGCACTCTTATCACTCAAGAAACAATTTTTCCGCCTCAATCCTGCGACGATTACCTCCTCTACACGCTGGGTCCGCCACACGATAGGGCTGGCTAGATAGCTCCATTACCTCCCTGCAAAAAAGGATAGACCATCTGCGATAACTTCAGAGCCTGGTCCTTTTTTATGCAAAGTTGTCTGTCTCCACCGACTTTGGCTTAAGGTACCGCGATGCACATTCGGCCTTGCTCGTCTCCACTGACCTTACACCAGCTTACAGCTGCGATCAATGGTTTCACAAACGGTACAGACTATGGGCCACGACAAACTATCGCTCATTCCGGAATCAGAAGAGATACACTATATAGACCGCGATGTGCACTACTTTTTGTCTTATCGTAGCTTATAGCAACTTCTGTTCTCTAAGTTTTGCCCAGGCACTCAAAAACATTGCTGCTCTAAATTCGAGCAACTGCATCTTCTGCTCTGACGCCATCAAAGCATCATGTCCACATCAAAAGACGTCTTCCACTAGCAGAAAGGAATTTAAGACTCACCAAAAAATCTCTATCAAGAACTGTGTGGCATTCAAGTGCTGGTTTCCCGTGATTCTGTTGCTCATGGTGTTCAAGCCACGCTATGCCGACGATAAGGACGTATCTTGAATCTAGATCTAGAGCCAAACAATCTTCCACTCTGTCAGAGTCTTTCAGCTCTAAATAACAGGTGCGAAAAGGATTCGACCCTTTAGCTAGTGCTCCTGTTATAAGACGCACGGACGTCCGACCCACGTTTGGCATCAGTACTGGTCTTGACATACGCATGTCGTACGTAATTGCGCGACACTCCTATGCCCACCAGGACTATTCACGGATTTTCGAGGCCCGTGACTTTGACTCAGACACCGAATAACCCTTATCTGGGTCTCATTGACCTCGGTCTTCGAGATTCAATTTAGCCCTTTTTTCAAAGCTGCCTTGTGCCTTCGAAAATTCGACGTGTTTTTGCTAGCAGCTCGACGGATAGCCCTGCGTGGAGATCTCAAGCTTCACGCCTTTGAGCCAAGAAACATGGGGCACCCAGGATGCAGATGCTTGGAACTGTTACATTTTGTACATTCGCGAGTACCACAATGCTGCTGGACAGCTAATAGCTCTTTTTTTCTAAAGCACTTTTAGGTTGAATTGTCTTTACACCCGCATGTAAGTGCTCATACTCGCGTACGGCCTGGACTGCTAGCGCGACGTGCGGTTGCTTTACTTGAAGCATGGTCGACTTATTGGCCATCTGAGCCTCTCGTGTCCGGAAAATTCTCAGGCTTTTGCTGCAGATAATACTCACTGGTCTGATTCGATTACGGCGGCAGCCGTGATCCGTAACGTGTCACCCTATACTTCCAACCCGCACTCATGTCCATTCGAAGAAGTGTTTAAGCAAAAGCCGCATCTAAGTGAGTGTATGGGTGTGAGTGCTACGCACATATAACCAAGTAGAAGCGCAAGAAGCTCGATGCTTTCTCGGATATGCTAAGAAACACAAGTGATATTGACAACTCAATGCTACTGATAATCCCTAGAAGTGTAGTCTTTGAGTATCAGTCGAGAGAGGTGTCGAAAAACAAAAGCAAAGATGTGATCGACGTTGTCGATAACCATGTGGATGGCATGAATGCAGAGGATACTGATGTCAATGAAGACTTTCGTTTACCGATGAGATCGCGTGATGAACTGACTCCAGAGTGGTATAACGGACCGACTCACTCAGTGTCGACTCGTGGATCAAGTGCACCTAGCCGGATTGAAGAAGAAGATGAGATGATACGACCAGAGCGTTAAAGGCGTTGAGTGGTCCAATATCAAGACGAGTACCTTGGTATGCAGCGAAGACAATTTGATTTAGATGACTTTAAAGTTGTCTACGATTCGCACTATTGTCTACACGCCGAAGACAACGATGGTAGACGCACTGTTTCTCAAAATGGGGTCATGCCGAGCAAGTACAAGATTAAATGGCTTCGCGTTATGAAGGAGTCACTCAAAGACCATCATACGTGAAATTTGTGGAGATGCCGAAGACCAAGAAAGCTACCGTGCAAGTGGGTGTTCCGCATCAAACGCTATCCATACAGAAATATTTTAAAGTTCAAGGCGAGCTTGTTAGCAAAGGGCTATACGCATCGTCTCGGTATTGAGTACATAAAAACATGTGCCCTGATTACGGTGAAGGAGTCCATCAATACTACGCCGGCAGTTAGAAGATACGAGAGCTGAGAACGTAGACACGTATTCAGCATTTCCCGGTGATGATGTGGAAGAGGAAACTTATATGGATCAGCCCAATGTCTTTGAGAATCAAGCCAACGCGGAGATAAAGTACTTGCTACAGCAGTCTCTCTACGGCACAAAACAGGCAGCACGTTAATGGAATAACAAGTTGAGCGAGCATATGGACAAGATTTCAAGCGCTCCGGTGCAGACACGTGCGTCTACGTCCGACATTCAAGCACTGTGTATAGCATCGCACAACTTGTGGGTGTATGTTTGTATTTTTGCATTCTAATACTTGTGATTTGCAACGCTGAGTTAGGCCGCAGAATGGCTCAGCCGTTTAGTGGAGGAGACTTTGATCGGTTGGGCATGTGTTCAAATTTCAGCGTAGTCAAGCTAGTTGTAACTAATTATTTGAACTGGTGTTTGGGACTCACCAAAACTTGTCTTCCCCTTGTAGCGTCTCCCTCAACGCTATCGCCTTTTTATGAAACGGCGCTCTGGCTAACCAGAAAAGACATTGCGTATTGACTGTCAGTAGGAGCATCTGGTGCGATGGAACAACGAAGTTTCGGACGCGTTTGAAAAATACGTCAAGGAATTAAGATGATTACTGGTGTGAAGATTAGGGTTTTACAAAGCGATAACGGTGGCGAATATTGCAGAATGGCAATGGTGATTCCAAGATGATCAAGCAATAGCTGACTATACGTATAACTCCCAATAGAGTGGCACGGCGGAGCGGATGAACCCGACCTTGATTAAAATTACCCGCTGCATACGGAGCGAAATCATTCCATCACGTAACGACCTTTTAAGACATATCGGAACATTTGTGCTTTTATAGAAAGATTCTCTATTTTTGGTTGCTGCTTTCATAACAAATTCTGTCATTCTGTTCCAGAATGGAAGAAAATGAGGGTCGAGAGTCATCATAGAACATCTCGTCAGAATGTGTGCTGCAAGCTAACTGCTAAGTGAAGAAATTAGCAGTGCATAATTACTTGAAACTAATTGAATAACCAAAACATGAATTGATCACTATGAAATTTTCATATTTGACCCATTACCGTTCATCAACGTACCAATCTTAATAAGTTTTTATGTTTTCAATTACCAGAATTAAGAAGGCCTGGTCTAGAGTACCCCTAGATCGCTAAGATAGTACCACCCTGTTTGAAACGTGATTTCTCTAAGCTTGTCATATTAGTAAATGTATTATAAAAAGCTTAAAAAATGTTTATAGTGTGGGTGTTGAGGAGGTGAAGGGCACATCCGCGTCGTGACCGTCAGACATTCTGCTTCACGGTACATCACCCAACGACAACCCCATCCCCAGCGCACAATGAATGTGACCACAAGACACTTTTTGGCCTTCTTTTAGTGATGGGACTATATTTAAAAGAATGAGTGTCTGAGGAAGACTCCGAATTGCAAATGTTGCGTGCAAGTATTTAAAAACGATGTTGTTTTGATGACAAGCAGTGTGGTTGCAGTCATTTTCTTATTTTTGTAATCATTTCCTTCCTACCTGACGTATTGATAGAAACCATCACGTAATGTACATCTATGTGTGGGTGGTAAAGCTAGTAATTACGTGATAGTATTACCAGATCCACATCCCTCCATTCAGTACTTTCGTACCTATAATTCAAATATCGTATATTTGTCTCGGAATGGAGTGTATGACAGGAATCACGGCGATTGACAGCTGTTGGTTTCGCGCCAGTAGTGAGAGATAATCTCATGCATAAAGTGACAGTAAGATCATTTTTGTTATGTCGTAAATTGTTCCTCCAGAAGTTGGCAATGATTTTGTAATACTTCATGTGTAGCGATCTCATAAAGCGCGTATTTCATTTGTTTCCCGCCAATGACTTAGTTTTTGGAAACAGAATATACCGGATATCATTGTAATCTCAGTTACCTGGCGTATTCCAGCAGACTTCAACGGCCCGCCATCTTCTAACCTCCATGGCAAAGTCACCAAATCAGCAACAGTACAAGATGCTGGAAATGATGTTCAAATTAGCGTAGATCTTGTTGAACCAAACGCTGCATCAGCTTACTTTTCAGTTTACATATCTGCCCGCTGTCATGGACATATCACTCGAAGCCTTGTCACTACATTCATTTGCGCAAGCAGCGAGTTATGCACTAATACACGCGTTGCAGTCCGACATTCTCGACATTTTATCTGTCTCGTCGTACTATATTGCTTGTCAGTAAGCGGACTTGATGGTATAGTTGACTGTACGCGAATTTCTGTTTTGTATTGCGGCAATCTCTTTTGTCGACTTACTGCCATAATGTTGAGCTAATAACTCATACTGAAGGAATATGTTTTTTTTTCATATGAGATTGATTAAAGCCAGCCGCAACTTAAGAACCTTTGATTACACTACAGTTTGCACGTGAGATCCATCGTATGCTTCATCTAAAAAATATTCTTACTAGCGTATTTATCGTTGCTACTAACCAAGTTACCAGCAGCACCCAGCTCACTGACCTGATGACTCCGGAAGCTGTTCTGCATCCGTCGCGGTACTATTATTGCATCAAAATGACCGAGAAGACTACGGTTCAAGACCCGCTGAAAGTTGTCTTTGCTACTGATATCATTCAAGCTTTCGATAATCCATGACGTGACGTTAAAAAGAGCTGGGGGGGTTCCACGACCGTCGCGCGAGGTCTGCTCTCTCAACAATGAGTACTCTGAGCTTGTAGATTCTGTTTGGTGTACGTACACATTCTACTCTTAGCCTTCGGACAGAAAGCGAAGCCTAGAAGGGACCGTGATAATGTATGCGAGGTATGAGTTTGATTGAAGCCAAATACACCAAATATAGATTTGTACGCGCCACACAATAGCGCGCTGACTTAAGTGTGATTTTAAATAATACTGAGTCTGTATGCTTTACTATGTTTAGTAGCAAAACTATACGTATTTAAGGGCGTGAGGATCGCAGCCCATGTGTTTGCGGATCTCTCCTTTGAGAAGCCAAATCACTCTTTCCAGTCCGAGTATTTCAAAACAGAAGAAGGACAATTTTTTTGAAATGAAGTCTGAAAGACAGAAAAACAATGTATATACACATAATTATTCAGCACGTTCCCCGGCACACTCTTTCCGTCAAAATAAATAACCAATCTACTTTGTACTCAAATTATCGCGCAGGTGTGAGCACTCAACGAGCACGCATTGCGCCTAAAGTTACTGGCTCCACTATCATTTCAAAGTGCCAGCAACTACAAAAGGCATTCGCCTTAAGAGTCCCCCACAACGCTCCCATGACTTAACGAAACCCTGAGTTAGGCGCGGTCTTTGGTCATTATCGGTGAGAAAACCAAGTTTTTCTTTGATGAGACATAGAGCCTCGGATCCCGGTTCAGAACCTTTCAATTTACCAGGATATATATAGCCAGCCAATCACGAAAGGAGAGGCTTTTCCCTAACTCCGCACCTTTAAGAACAGCTTGCGCACTCCACACTCATTCCTTGCGGCGGAATGTGCTACGACACCCCGCAGCAAAAAATACAAGAATGTTTGCTAAGAATAAGCTGAATCTAGACCGGCGAAGCAATCACTCCGTCTGCAAGCGCAAGAGTCGCAACAACTTTAAAAGCTACCGATCACGTCGTGATTTTGCGCTCAATCTTCGAAAACGAATCCGAAGCTCAGGTCACCTCGCCTCAAAAATACCACCTGCACGTAGAGCCGCAGTGGTCGGGTACTTCCGTACCCTTCAGGATATTTAGGTCTGAATGCTGGTTAAATGTCGACGAGTATCGCACTCAATTTGCGCAAAGGCGAGGTCCTCGCGACCGACAACCTGTCAAGTGAGGAGGCCGATGTATTATTTGATTGGAAATGTTGCAGCGACTCGCCGAGTTCCGATTTGACATCCCCACCATATACGTTCTCTGAGCTCCATTATATTTTGCAAAAGTACGCACTTTGGATCCGCTCCCCCGAAAAGGGTAGCGACATCCCGCCGCATACATCATGACGATATCTAGCTCACTAATAACGAGCCAGCACTGGACTTGGCCAAGTTTGTCTGCGGGAGTCGCAACGACTCCTGTCGGTTCATGACTGCTCAAAGCCCAACTAGTGTTGCTCGTCGCGCCTATGTATGCAGGCCTTCTACCCAAACAGAAAGCAATACACGTGCTATCAGACCCCACAGATCACAAATTCTCAGCAGTTATCGTGCAGTTCTGTATCCTTCATAGGGATGCGGTCGGAAAAATCGCACTCTCCATAAGAATATACATGTACTGAATTATGGCGAGAATGCCAAAGCCAGCCCGCACTTGGTTCGCTCACCAAGACACAAAAAACTCACCCGTCCACAACTTAGCACGCCAGCTTCAGTGAATCATACGTCCGACAAGAGCATCGATTAATGCTTGACTTTGCATAGTACGATATACGACGTGGACGTCGAGGTAAAAAGTTTTTTTAGCTGATAATAGCTCCGCTTATCGCCACGAGACAGGTGTTGAAGCAGCCGGCCAATTCTCGAATTCGCAATAAGTTTTTCCTTACTCACTAGTGGGAAGCGCCCACTTCAGGGCTATTCTCCCTCATCTCCAAGGGAGACAAAGGAAGAGGGTGCGCCAAGATGATAGCGGTCATAAATCTTGTAAAAGTGGAATCGAAAGCAACGTTTGCTCATCGACCTGCCAAACGTTCCAGCGTTGTAGTGTACTGAGTTTGTTCATCGAGCAGTACCAGCAAACGTCGACTTCCGTGTCGAGTTCTCGTGAGCTTTCTTCATCACGGCGGCCCGTCACATCTCTCCAAGTGTTTCGTTGTGCTTCCAAATCTGAGATGATTCCATCCCGGATACGTTTCCTGAGCTTTGCCAACGCACTGCGTGGCTTGTGACACCTCCAGCGGCTCGATTACCGCTTCTTCTGCATCAGAGCTCCTTTCAACCGTCTGTCTCCTAAGAGTGGGATCATGGTGTGGCTTCAGTTAGGTCACGACGAACACAGAATGTGTTTGATTACACTTTGAGATCTTGAGAGTATCAGCTACTCCAATTTTTTGCTACGTCCGAGGGCGCTCTAATGGGGTAAGGTCGCCTTTTAGGCTGACAGACCGCAGAAACGACATTGAAATTAGGCTTAGTGCTTTCAAGATATGTTTCGGTCCACTAGGATTATGCGATGTTTCACCTGTCTCTGGAACGGCGCGTTGCTTCTGCAGGTTCTAATTCTCAGTCTTGAGTTGCGCACCCTGCGCATGACGCATGATACCATAAAAAAACTGTGTATACTACGTAAAGTAGTTGGGTTGATATCAGCAATCGATAACTTATCCCCCACTTCGACTAGGGCCACTTTGTGGTAGTGTCAAGTGTAACCGCAGGCTGACCAAACAATTGAAGTAAGTTGAGATTATGCTTGTGGTGTCATATACCGCGTCATTCAGCGCAAGTTCAATGAGTAGAAGCAACTACCCTGAGCACGGCGGTTTTCTGCGCATACCTTTTTCAAATATAACTTTCACCAGGCTTTCACGCGCTTCACTCCACCATCTGTTTGTGGATGGTCAGCGAACACATGTATAATCTAGTGCTGAGAGCTTTTTAACAATTTGCGCCAATTTGCGTTGTTAAACGCGGGTCTTTATGGCTCCCGGCAATCCATGTTGGCAAAAAAAGTTTTTCGAGGAGTAGACTGGCTGATTATTCACATGGTTACAGAATCGCTGGCTGTAGCGAGATAAACTATCTTTCGTAAAATAATCCATTGAGACCACGATGTCAGACCACGGTGTCACCGGGCGCATCATCGACCGACCAAATATAAAATTAGACTTATGGACTGTCAGCACTCTGCTGATTCGGGCAGGCAAACTATTGAAGCCGCCGCATGCGGCGAGGGTAGAAAGAAAATTATCGTACTATCAGGAGTATAAAACTGCAAATAGTGTATGATACATTATATTGCTGATATTAGGCAATGAACGCACAAGCAAAATGGCGCCAGCGCACTCCGGCAAAGATTGACGTTCGACGCTCAAAAGCAGCTTCAGCAGCTTTTAAAATTACCGAGAAATCAAGTTCATCCAATTCAACAACTTTTGAACACCCAACGACAATTCTGGGTCAGCCCCGGCCTTTAAAGCAAGCTGAAGAACCCTCGATTGGCGCTTCGATCGAGGCTGAAGACGCTTCGTCACGCTGGAAAGAAATGCGACAAGCTGTACGCACTAAAGCGACGTTTGAGACGACAGAAAACAAATGTGGCCAAGCCAAAATTGCTGACTTGTGTCCTGTAGACCGAGAAAAGGTGTCTAAGTTGGTTCATCGCGTCGTCGAGGTTGATTCTAAATCTATGAGCATATAAGGCTTTAGCATAATTTGATAGATTTTTTCATATACCGCAGATAGGATCTCTACATGAGGAAGCAAAGGAGGAATTTGAAAGAGAGAAAGAAATGCACGAGGCGGAAGTGACAGAGTTGCGACAACATATTAAAAGAGCTACCGAAGAAATTCAAGATTTGTCAGACGAACTGCGTAATACAAGACGAAAGGCGCAATTATTTGAAGAACGAGTTGTGATACTCGAGGAAAGCATAGATTCGGAAACGCGTTTAAGATTGGAAGCAGAACAGACGCTAGACATGCTTAGACTTGAAGTGGAAAAGCTGCGGGCACTGGTACAGCAACAACAAGGCGAAATGCAGCGAGAAGCAAATGTGCGGCAAAAGCACTATGATGATGAGCTTTTACGTGTAAGGGAAGATTTGAAACAAGCGCAGGAGCTGCTGCTGACGGAAAAGAACGAACGGCTATATGACAAGCAAAAAGTTCTCGACCAACGACTTGAGCGCTCTACTGCAGCTGATGATAACAAGCTACACCAGCTGTATGCCCTTCTTGTTCAACAGCAGTATGACTTGCAAGTCAAAGCAAAAGCGGAACAAGAAAAGATGCGACAGGATTTCAGACAGCAGCAAGAATCGACTAATGCCAAAATGAGCCAGTTAAAGTTTGAGTTGAACGCTGCGCAGGAGCTTCTTCAACAAGAACGCGAAAAACAAACACTTGAAAAAGTAAAGACAAATGCAAGTTCAAACAACAGCTTTGAAAAAGTTGTTCAAGGTGAACCAATCGAATCCTCTGATCGCCAAAATGCTTCTCCGATTCAGCACGCTTCAGCCCTCGAAACAAAAAGCCAGCTTCCTCACTATACGGATATGCAAGGTGACCTAGCTTTGTTTGAAGAAGTGAAAGACTTATATGCTGAAGATCTTTTTGCGTCCCGAAAGTGGCAAACAGTTGCTTTTCGTTTTGAAAGTGCACCATGGCTAACTTCTAGTGCGGCACTACCATCAGTACAAGGCAAAACCAATTCATCAACGCTAGATGTATCTGTTCAGGAAGCTGTCGAGAATGATATGCAGCTTCAATTGCGTTTGGACTCAATTTATTAGGCGTTCCGTATGATCTTAAATGTCGTTTTATAAGCTTAGAGCTTAAAAGATTTTTTAATGGCACACTTCCTCACCTACCAGCATTTGAAAGTTGATTAAGGTCAAGCATGTAAGAACTGATGCTCCATAGACTTATTTACCCATTTCATCGACAGCTTTTTTAAAAGAGTAAAACATTTCACACGTGCGATACTTAAAACGGCACCTTGTTGAGCAAAAATGTCAGGAAGCCAAATATAGCATTGGTCAGGAGTAGATGATCATAGGAATAAATTCATTATTTTGTACAGCCACGAAAATAACCATACTGCTTTGAAAGCAGAAGAGTGACGAAAACAGAATAAAACCGACATAATGGAAAGAAATTGAGAATTGTGGATGCATGTCAGTCAAAAAATTCTGTCAACGCTTCACCACATTGCTTGAGTTTTCCTTTTCTGCAGGATCGATCGATAGATCTCGCAGTAGGTCATTCCAATGATCACAATCACAATGATCCACTTCTTTTTCAACACTGTTGCTTTGTGCTTCATCATTCTTGGGAACGTTAATCTGCATCTCAAATGGGATCCTACGCTTCTTAACTTTCATCTCAAATACTTCGATCGCTTCCTTTAAAAAGTTAGCATCTAATTCTGAGCGAGGCACCTTCAAATAATGAAAATAAGCATCTAAGTGCCGCATAAATTCAGCTCGGATCTCTGGTGCACGACGTTCGTTGGCCACAAAAACGACAGTTTTGCGGTGGGATAAAGCCAATAAAGACTGAACTAGCGGCTTTATGCACGCTTTTTCGTACACAACGTCGGCACATAGGATACAGTCGAAAGGCGGTCGAAGTTTTTCTACTGGAGTTCCCCTAACAAGTATTGAAAACTAAGTGACAAACGCATCGCTGCAAAAGATCGCCTCAATGCATTCATACCAAGCGTACGTCTCTACGCGAACTCGCTGACGCTCATTTTCCGTTAGATTCGTTCTCACATTACTCCGCAGCCACGGAAGCACCGGTCCAACGTCTGTAAGCACCACATCAGCCAGTCCCTTAGTAACAATTGCACTGGCGATTCCTGCAAGTCCTCCGCACCCTGCACCGAGCTCGCAAATGGACGAATAGCGCTGAAATTGAACGGGGCGCTGCTCAATGAACTTAAACAGCGTCTTACTACTGTCCCAGACGGTCGTGCCTAATAGAAAAGAATCCGGGTCCTGTTCTATAGAGACCACACGATCATTTCCTATTGGCATCTCCACAAAACGTGCCCATTGCGTGAACGACGATTCAAGTGCTAAGGGCTCCGACGAAGTAGGCACGTCGTCTCCCATTCAAGCCTGAATTAGCTATAATTTTATGTTAATTTTTTGGTCAAAATTTCGGATTTGTCCGTGCGCGCTCAATGGGAGCATAGCCTTTAGTATTATCGAATAAAACTCAGACATACACATTAATACACCCTGTCAGCGCTCAGTCTTGTTGATTGGGGCCATGAGATCTGCGTGGTATGAAGCCAAACATGCATTACAAAGGGTTGTAATAATAGTGTGACGAGATATTCTACATTTCCTCGTACAACCAACCACCTATCGTTTATTTGCTGTCTAGTGACAAGCAGTTGTCATCAAAATGATAAATGGTCTCCTGTTTTATAGGTGGCCTAGGATTGTGATAGATACTTCTTTGTAAGAAAAAAGTAGTTGATGAAATGAGAGGTAGGACAATTGGTAGCTGGGCTCCAAGATGGCGTAGGACGTTGAGATATTCAGTGGATTGCCCAATCAAAGATGACTTTCTTTCACTATTTTTAGGCTTTTTATGCAAATTACGGGGCAGAGATTGTGGTCTGTTGCTTGCGAAATGCCGAGATCCCCTCGCGATATTTTACATCGAATCATGTTGGACAAAACAAAACTGCTTAGGGTTTTCAATAATGACGTGATAATACTATTAAATATTTGAAGAGTTACTTATATGGTGTTGTTTTGAAGCGGATTGCGATCCGCTACACTCGTACTGATTTTAGTACAGAACGTAAGGTCGGTGACCTAGAACGAAGGTCGGTGATCTTAAGTAAGCTTTCTCTTAGCAAAGAGCTATGGTAAACAAATCGACAACGAAATATTACGATGATTGCAAAAGTGATGCCAAAATCTATCCAAATCTTACTGTGACACATCAGAAAATGTCTTCTTTGAAATCTTTCACCGTCAGGCTTTCAGGTAGCATGATATAGCAGCCAACCTCCGAGCCTCATCACTTGAGCAATCGTCAAAGTCTAGAGATGTGGCTAGTGTCAATATTTATTTGCGAGGTGTAATTTGGTTGAGCCATTTTAGAATCGATTTTCCCAGGGATGTGAAGCCGGTGAAGAGAGAGAAAGCAATCTGAATCACCACACCATGATCGCCGCCTACATCTATAGCTGAAACCAATACGCGAAGAATGTGGCTGCACCCGTGAAACCGACCACCGGAAACTAAGAAGTTATAGGAAAAAACATCAAGAAAGACGCTCGGGCTTCCATCGCAGTAGATTAAAAAGTAACGTTCCAGGTGCATTATACGTTTGAGATGCGTGCAAACAGCAAAAGTAAGACGATGTTCTGTCGCGGTGGGCACGACACCGCTATGTGCGATGCGTTAAATGTACGCAGTTTTATCGAAGAGCAAACTCATGCCTATATTATTGCGGCCGTGTGACGCTTACTCTGCACTAACGCACGTGATGCCAAACACAAGCCCAATAATGATGTAATAAATGAAACGAGTCCAATTGTTAATACCGTGCGCCAAACATTTGGAAACAAGCAGGAGCTAAAGTCTTGCCTGGGTCATCACCGCAAAAGCCACCTTGTCTTCAACGTTCATTTTTTAAAAGTCAGCGGACAAACTGATGGCGTTTTCGCGAATAAGGTTCGATCGCAATCGCTCAAAATTTCGACTCTTGTAAAAGATAAAAATACCTATATTCAAGTCGCTTTAGTCGCCCATGCTCTTGTCAATACCCGCCCCAGCCACTTCATTCATTCAAGTCGTAGGATTGAAGTTGCCTCCGCGTTTCACCACA